GTTTGTCCCCTGACCAACTAGTCCAGAATTTTGGTTTTCTCATGTATAATTTTTCATGCTAAGGAGACTTATCAGGGGAGCAATTGAACTATCCCAGCTTATATGAGGGTGGCCTGTGACCCAGCTGAAACATTTGGTGATGGGCAAATGTTTGTGCAGGAATGGCTATGACTTCCCTGGGTGTGGGGGAGTGTTTGAGGATGCCACCTATGAAATCAGACCACAGCATTGATTTGATACTATTACATTGGTAGGTCACCAAGGAAGGATCCAGTGCCATTTCTGTTTTTAATACAAAGGAAAAAGTTCCTGTCCAATGACTTAACTTGCACTGTTGGAAATTCCCCAGATTAGACCTCAGACTGGTGATCAGACAATCCCAGTTCCAGTCTTTTACCTGATGCAAATAGAAAAGAAACAAGCTGTCCCAGAGGGGTCCTTCTCAATGTGCACATTCATGCCATTGTTATCTTAACAAGCAATTGTGTCTGGGGTGGTTTGTGAGGTAGAAATAGGTAACTAGTACCAATGGGAAAGCTTGGAACCTCTGCTGGAAGTAAATACTTTAGCACTGAGGCACAGTGATGTTTGAAATAGGATTAAACACATTTCTGGGGTGTAGACTTCCTGGTCTAAATTTCAAAGTTATTTTGAAAAAAAAAAGTTATCATGCAGATTGTGCCATTTGACTATAGATGCTCCTCAGCTTACAGTGGGGTTAGATCCTGATAAACCTATCACAATTTGAAAATATCATGTGGAAAGTTCATTTAATACACATCCTAGCTTAGCAACACAGCACATTGGAGGGCATTGAACGTTTCCCCTCTTTCTTCGGAAAGACCAAATTCAAAATTTGATACGCAATTTCTACTGAACATGTGCAGCTTTTGCACCATCATGAAGTTGAAAAATTCAAAGTTGAAGCAAGCCTATGTCAGGGACCATCTGTATTAACTTCAGGGATCCAGACCCTTACAGTAGAGAACTCCTGTCTTCTGTCTTGGGGTTGAAACCTGGGAGAGAAGCCGTGTGCCTCACCAGGTGGGCCAGAGCAGATATGTGGGATGGGAGCCAGAGACCACGATGGCTTTTACACCTTTTAAGAGGCAAAGGAGGTGGTTTAGGAGGTGGAGGCAGATCGAAAGTTCAAAGCCAGCCTCAGCAATTTAGCACAGCCCTACACAACTTAAGAGAAACCCTGTCTAAAAATGAAAAATAAAAATGGCTGGGAAAGTGGCTCAGTGGTTCAGCACCTCTGAGTTCAATACCTGGTATCAACCAACAAAAAGGGAAAGGATTCCAAAGTCCCCATGGGCCCTGAGTGAGGTGCTCCCCACTGTTACTTTTGAAGCCTTCCCCAGTCGCTGGGGAACAACTCTCTCCTGTTCCCTCCCACCCTCAGGCTGCTCATTCTTCATCCCCGTGGCAGGCTCATCCTTCTCCCCTGACCTTGACATGCCAGAGTGGCTCAAAGCTTGGGTGAGCTTCCTCTCCTCTTTTTCTGAGCTTTAAACCTTAAAACTGAGGGAAAATTCAGATCTGATTTCACTTGCTTTTAGTTACTTGTTTTGAGTTGACTTAAGAAGCACTGATTTTGGAGGCCACGGAGCTGAGTAACATACAATCAACTCACCATTACCTTTGTTGTTGATATGCCTGTAACGTGGGGGTCATGGTGATAACGGGTGCCGAGGTTGCTTTTCAAGGACCTGAAGGCCACTGTTGTTGAAACCACTGACTCTTTACTTGAACCTGTGAAGGTGTATGGTGGGTGGCCTTTTGATGTCAGAGGGCTGAAAACTCTGCCCTCAGATCATGCGAACGCTGCATTCTCTGAACGTGTGTTCCGCGTGGACCACCCATGATTTTACCTCCAGTCAACTGTCCCCATGCCTTAGATCACTCAGCCTCTTTTCCCCATAAATACCCTCCAACCCCTGTCCTTGGAGTGGCAGAATTGAGAGGAATTCCCTGTTCATATTTAACTTCATGAGTAAACTCTCTTCTGCAAAACTCATCATTTCAGTGATGGACACAGGGAAGAACAGGACATCAGGGTCTGGCTCAGTGACATACATTTGGTTCTCTGTCCGTGGTTCCTGACAAAGCATTCCTAAAACTTTTGGAGTCTCTGAGTGTTAGGAGATTTGTCATTTCTTATGTGGTTATTGTTATTCTTTTTACCACCAAATCTTTTGTTGTTTATAAAGAGACCCTTTTTTTGATCATACCTGAGCTTATGCTAATGAGGTGACATAGACTGGGGACCCTAGAGAGCCTCAGAATAGACTGGTAACCAGAAAGAAGTGATTAGAAGACTGGAACTTCCAGTCCCAGCCCTGACCTCCAGGAAGCAAAGGGACTGGAGATTGAGCTCCTAAACTCATGAACAATAAGGTTTGTGGATCTTTCAGGTTGGAGGCCACATGGAGGGACTGGGATAATGCTGGGCCTGGAGAAGCCAGGAAAGCTCCACACCCATCCCTGCCTTGGGTCCCTTCTATTTGGCTATTTCCTGGTTATATCCTTTATAATAAATTGGCAAACTCAAGTGTTTTCTTACACTCTGTGAATTGTTCTACTGAATTGTCAAAACCGAAAGAGAACATAACGGGAACTCCTGAATTCCTGCTGGCCAGGCAGGAATGTGGGTCACTTGGGCACCTCATTTGCACCTGGCATCTGAAGTTGAGGTAGTCTTGTGGGCCTTTAACTTGCGGAATCTGACATTCATTCCAGGAAGAGCATCTTAGAATTGAATTGTCGGACACCCAGTTGGAGAATCAGAAAACTGGTGTCACACAAGGCACCATTTGGTGCCAGAAAGAACCCAAGAACTTAAGGTCAACGTGTCCCAAAATGGAATTCTGATCATGCCCTTCCTCTATCTATTCCTCCTTTAGTAGTTCCCACCCCAATGACTACTACTGCTTTAAGTCCAAATCCTAAGAGGAGCCTCCTTCCCCCTGTTCCCTCCCTGTGTGAATCCATAGTGTGCAATGTGTTTTTCACCTCTAGATAGCTCTCAGATCTATCCATACCACCATCATCTCTCAATCTGGGTGTAATCACAATTCAATTTGCAATGATTGCAATAGCCTCTTATCAGGTTCACCCCATTGTCCTGCCCCCATCGATCTACTCTTCATTCTGTATCCAGAATGGCCTTTGCAAAATTTATTTCTGTTTTTTTTTCAAACCTACTAAATATGGAGGAACTCTTCAGTGTTCAAAACTCTTCAGTGGCTTCAAGGTCAAGAAGCTAAACTCTCTCTACCTTTGTATTCTTCAGCTGGATTACCTTGCTGTCTGTCCAGAGGCCACAAGGGCCTTCTTCCGGTTCTTCCCTCCATGCTGCTTCTGCACAGAGTCTTTGAATGTCTCCCCTCTAGTCCTGTAACTTCCAAGATTCCACTCTGTGCCCAAGGGCTGAGTTTACGTAAATGCTGGTCTCCTCCAATATATTGAGAGCTCCATGAGGCTGGGGACCTCTAACATTTTCATCAAAGAGAGGAATGTGGGCTGGAGCTAGGACCAGGGCACTGGCACACCCCTGGGAGTGATGACTACTTAAATTCTGTGTTCTAAGCACCTCACTTTCGTCCTCTAGTCCTGGCCCCACAGTGGAATGGACATGTCTCCAATGATGGTGGTGGACCAGAGAGTCATCACAACCTCTTATCTCTTTGAAGTTCTATATTTTTAAACTATTTTGTGACTTTTATATTAAATTTCCTAATACAGTAATGAGATACATCAAGAGATTGTCTTCTTCCCCAAATCATGCAGTTGTTCCAGGAAGATATGCAACATGTATCTTGAACTTCTTTTAAGCCCCACACACAGTTGAGATGAAATTATGGAGCTCCATATAGGGCACAAAATGACCAGCAAGATCCCAGCAGAGGAACCATCAGACCCCTTTCTCATGAAACCACCCCTAGATCAGCATCTCTAATAATGGTAGAAATCTTTAATTTATGGATTCAAATCCCACCACAACCAAACTGTGGCTCATGAGTCAATGAAAAAATCTTTCTAGGTCTTTATATCCCATATGTACAATAGGATAATATGATTTCCACCTCACAAGGTTGTTCTGCAAATCAGATAGCTCAGGAAGAGCCCTCAGCACTGATGGGGTATTCAGTGGGTGCTCAATAAATATTAGCCATTAAAATGATCCTTTCATAATCTTCCACTCACCATCTCTTTTATCTGTTCTCTCCCCAATCAACGCACTAAAAACCCCGCCCCTTTAAATCTGCCAACACATAACTTATTTAACTAAGCCTCCGTTAAATAACCTGGGTAAGTTATATTTGCTTTTTTATGTTTCTTGCTTAGTTGATTAGCGGATCAATGTTTCTAGAATCTCAACTTTTTAAAAATTTTTTATTCGTTTTAATTAGTTATACACGACAGTACAAAGACCTTGACATATCATACATTTGAATCAGATGGGATATAATCTCTCATTTTTCTGAGTGTACAGGTTGCAGAATCACAAAGAATCTCAACTTTTATGTAAGGAATTGTACACACATCCATATAGGTTAATTAACAGTTCCCACAGTGTAGTCCCCAGAGCCCAGCATAAGCATCTCCTTGGCGGAAACTCTGGGGATGCGGCGCTGAGATCTGCTCCGACTGGCCCGCCCCGTGATGCTGACGCGCGCTCAAGTTTAAGGAAAAACTGGCCTTAAAGCAAAACAAAACCAAAAATACTACTTTGGAAACTCTCGAAATCCCCAGATACTATGAGGCGCTCATCCACCCCTCCACATCCCAGGCTTGGCTTTGTCCCTTTTCAAGGGACTGTCGCGGCTCGGATGGGCAGGGCGGCCGAGTCGGGCGCCCACTCTGTGGCAAAAGCGTCCGGCGGCGGTGGGAGGCGGTGTGCGCCACGTGGGTGCCAGCACCCGCAGGGCCCCCCTCCGCTGCTTCCCAGCCAGCCGGGACAGCCGACTCGCGGGCGGGACCAGGGGAGGGGCGGGGACGTGCTCTCAGGCCTGGAACGAATGGCCTCCCGCAGCTCTGCGCTGGCGGCTGCGTCCGCTTCCCGCTCGCCCCGGCAAGATCCGCGGCTCAGACGGGACCCGAGCCCACCCGTGCCGCCACTGGGCAGGTAGGTGGGGGCTACGGGTCCAGAGGCAAGCGCGCAGATTGGATCCGGGGGCGCCTTTAAATGTGGGGGCAGAGATGCACCCCTCACTTTTGGGCCGCGCAGGACCTGCAGCTTTCCAAGTTCCCTATAGGCAAGTTTGCCTGCGACAGGGACTCCCTAGATCGATGACAGCCAGGAGGACGATCTTCCTCCAGAAGCCAGAGCTGTCAGGTCGACTTCAGGGGCAAGAAAACGTGGGCCACGCTTCGGTCTCTCAAAGTTGAGCGCAAGTCCTCCACCCGGGACGCTCCAGAGGTGGAACAGACCCGAGTCCCGCTGGGAGTGAGTGGAGAAAGAGGGGAACCCGGACCGCGCCCTTCAGAAATCTTTCTGTCACTTTCTACCCGTGCATTCCGAAGCAGGCGTCCAGGTGTTCTGGTGGCAGCTCCTCCCCGCCCCTGACCCTCCCCCGCGGCGGGCAGGTTCAACTCCCGAGCTGGCCCGAGGCCCTCGTCCTCCTCCCACTGCGTCCTGAGCTGCACCAGCTAAAAGCTGGTGGTTTCGGAGTGGACCTCTTCTCTTCTCTTCCGGGCGGACTGGCGACCGGTCAGCGAGCCCCGGTGGGCGGCGCTGCTCACTCCTTCAATTGCACAGAGATGTTTCCAGAGAATTCTTGAGCCGGGTGTCCGCGGAGGGACAAGCCCAGGGTCCGGATGGTGTCATGGAGTCTCCCGAGACGCAGCTGCAAAGTTCCGAGGTTGTGCCCTTTGCAGAACCTCCACCCGCGGAGGGGCGGCCAACCCCGGAGGTCCTCTGCGTGGAGAGTGGCACTTCGGAAGCCTGGAGCCCTGAAGTTCAGTTCGAAGACAGGCCCTTGTCACCGAAGGAAGAGGCGCCTCTTCCGGAGCCGGAGCCCCTGGAATGCCGCCGCCCTCGCGCGCGCTCCTTCTCCTTGCCGGCAGACCCCATTCTAGAGGCGGCCAAGCTCCTGCAGCGGCGCCAGCAGCAGCAGCAGGCCCTTCCGCTGGGCGCGGAGAGCGGTGAGCCAGTTGAGGACGTCCTGCTTAGCCCCGGTGACTGCTGCAAGAAGCGGGTGCAGTTCGCCGACTCTTTGGGGCTGAGCCTGGCCAGCGTGAAGCACTTCAGCGAGGCTGAGGAACCACAGGTGCCTCCCGCCGTGTTTTCGCGCCTCCGCAGCTTCCCGGTGCGTGTGGAGCGTCTGGAACAGCTCGGGGACCTGTTGGCACAGGCGCCCTCCTCCCTCCCGGCGCCGCCTGCCCGACTCCGGCCTCTCTTCCAGCTCCCGGGACACAGCGTTGCAGCCGAGCGCCTGCGACAGCAGCGCGTGTGCCTGGAGCGCGTGCAGTGCTCGGCACCCTCGGGCACGGAGGTGACGGGCTCTGGTAGGGTGCTGGGCTGCCCGGGGCCCAGGGCTGTGACAGTGCGCTACACCTTTACAGAGTGGCGCACATTCCTGGACGTGCCAGCAGAGCTGCAGCCAACAGAAGCGCCGTCGGGGGCCTCTGAACCAGGGTCTGGGGATGCTGAGGAGGAGCCGGGCGCAGAACGCTTCCGCTTCTCGCTGTACCTACCCCCCGGCCTGCAGCCCAAGGAAGGGGAGGATATTTCCGTTCACTTTGCAGTCTGCTACCGCTGTGAGCAGGGCGAGTATTGGGACAACAACGCGGGGACTAATTACACACTGCGCTACGCGCGCCCCACGAATCTGCTCTGAGCCCAAAGCGCTTTGCGGGAACGAGGGAAGGGAAGGGGCTGACCAGCACAACCGAGCTCAGGCGGCTGCTCCCGAGGCACTGGCTGGGATGCTTTGATGAGCGTCGTCGGTCTGGAACGAGTGTGAAGCGAAAGGAGGGAATCGCTAAACCGTAATCTGGAATCCCTAGCAGATACAGGAGCTAGCACTGTGAAACTGGGCAACGCCCCCAACTTCTCTGGTCTCAGTTTTCTTGTTGCTTCTACCTTCCTATATGGCCTTTAGAATCCCCAGCCTGCGTCAGAATGGGAAGAAATCCCCAAGTCCTGAAGCAGAAACTCCAAGAAACGGGCTCTCAACTCCTGATCGCTACCGTACCTGTGGCTCTATGACTTGTTTTTAACAAAGAGATGTCATATTTTCGTCTTTCGATGGAGACCAGTGGGAAAAGAATAAAGCGCCCGACCACCGCGCACCACGGGACTGTGCACGCGAGGAACCTAAATACCCCATTCTGTTTCTCAGAGAAAACTGGGTGGTGGCTGGGTCAGACTGTCCTTTTCTTTTAAATGGAATCTGGAAAATGACTGCCCAGACTTGACATTATTTACTTCTCGGATTGTGCACAAATGTCCTTTTAAGAAGTAAGAGGCTGTATTTTACATTTTAGCTCCTGAGTGTTTGGGGAGGCCTTGGCAGTCAGGAGACTTTACTCAGCGGATGGCAAGCGCACTTTAACAATTGTTAAACAGTATTCGCACATTTCCCTCTCTGGTGTAGAAGAGCCCAGATTCCTTAATTGTGAAAAAAATGCTTTCTGCAATGATTTGGGGGTAGCCTTCTGTCCCCCTGCCATAGTAAGATGTTTGGTGAATTAAAATGCTAGAGTAAGCCTTAAAGTAGGCCTCAGCTGTGAGCTTCAAGGACCTGTCACACTTGTCCCAACCTCCTTTGTACAGACAGAACAGCGGGAGACTCCCACTAGGCCATTAGCAGTCAGAGAAGCTGGGCTCTTAGGGGCTGGACTCCAAGTGCAGAGGGTGGGGGATGTGTCCCTTTCAGAGCCACTGAGAGGAGTGGTGCCTTCTTGGACCAGGAAACATGCCCAGCACGTAAATGCTGCTGAGACCCAGATGGGCATTCTGTACTGCCACCACAGGCACAGGGTCACTCGCTTCTGGGTGGCTGTGGATGCCAGGGTGATTTGGCCCGGAATGAGGCAGCAGGTGGGCATCCTGGGTAAGGACCTAATTCCACCATACCTTGGTAATCCTTCTTTGGTAATTTAGGCTTTTAAAAAGTTTTCCAGCACAAAGCTAGCTTTGCCAATTAGTTTTGGAATGGTAATGTTTAAGAAGGGATGTTTTTGTTTAGAAGAGGGTCATTGACCAAATTTGGCCCAAAGCCTGTTTCCTCTTTACATTTTTAAATAGTTGAAAAATTCAAGAAACGAATACTATTTTGCCATGAGGATCATATGAAATTTAAATGTGCACATCCAGAAATAAAGTTTTATTGGAACACAGCCACATGCATTTATTTATGTATTCTCTATAGTTGCTCTCATGGTAGCACAGCACAGTTGGGTGGATGCAACAGAGACCATATGCAAAGTGTAAAATATTTACCACCTGGCCCTTTATAGAAAGCTTGTCAATCCTTGTTCCGTATTTTTAAACACTATATGCAGAGAATTATGGTTAATAAGGCAGTTAACCTTTTATGGAATTTTGCTGACTTGAAACAAACTTCCTTTGGGCAAAGGTAAGACTATTACTTTCAGTAATCTTGGTTAAAATAAACATTAAGACACAAGGAAACACAATTACTTACTGAAGGGAGGAATTCTACCTGCTCCATTCTGTCACCTAAAAAATGATCACTGAAATAAAATAACAATCTGAATTAGCATCAAACTACAAAATCTGCCAGATATTCTTTGCCTTTATTATCTATTTTATTTTTGGTGCTTTAAACCCAGAGTCTGGCACATGGTAAGCACATGCTGTACCACAGAGCTACACGCCTAGCCTTCTTTGCCTTTAAGTGGAATGTCTACAGGAATAAAAATATTTAGTTTGAACTTTGGATTGGAGAATTCCTTTGACTATGGCAGTGTTTCCCAAGATTAAGTAATCAGGGGGGAATTTTTAAATAATTTATTGACAGAAAGCCACCAGGAGTTGTTAATGAGTTATAATTTATAGTTGAAGTACACTTTTAAAAATGGTCACATTCATGAAATAGTAAATGCTAAATCCATGTGTACTTTGTAGAATATTGTATAATAATAAAAATAACCAAGTGATCACAGTGATATCATTTTTCTGTTATCAAATGCAAAAGCAATCAACATCTTTTATGCAATGTCCAGATAGTCTCAGGTCTGACACAAAATTTCTTAAAAGTGCATTATTATATTAGTAACAATGCCTAAATATATTATATTTTAATGCATTTTTAAGTACATTTTAGTTGCAAAGTATTGATAGCACATACAGCCTATAACAGTTTGAAAATGCTGACTTATATGTTCATAACACACTATTTAAATTGTTTTATTACTTAAAATTAAGCTAGAGGATTGGGGGTATCTCCATGGTAAGGAGCAAGCCTTGTATGTGCAAAGTCGTGGGCTTAATTCCCAGACCACAGAAATAAATTAAATTAAAAATAGGAGCTCAATATAATGATCAAAATAGAGGTCTTCTTATCTAGGACTCTTTAAGATAGTATCTGTCAAATCTAGAGTAAGGTAGATTTAAGTCATGATTTTAATTTATTAATTATCATTGTTGTTATTATTTTGGCACTAGAGATTGAAACCAGGGCCTGGTATATGCTAGGCAAGCACTTTACAACTGGGCCAAATTGCTAGCCCAAGAGATATATTTTTAATAAGTCTGTACAACACATTTTGTATTCTTATTGATTTAAAAATATATGATTTTGAATTCCAACCATCAACTTTTTAAAAAATTTATTTTTTAGTTTTAGGTAGACACAATATCTTTATTTTACATTTATGTGGTGCTGTGGATTGAACCCAGTGCCTCGTGCATGCTAGGCGAGCACTCTACCAATGAGCCACAACCCCAGCCCAACCAGCCATCAATTTAAAAAAAAATTTTTTAGTTGTCAATGGATCTTTATTTTATTTATTGATATGTGGTTCTGAGAATCGAACCCAGTGCCTCACACGTGCTAGGCAAGCGCTCTGCCACTGAGCCAAACCCTAGCCCCCAACCATTAATTTTTAAAGGATGCATTTCATACCTAATGAACATCCAACATGCTTGTTAGGAAAAGAAATACAGCTGTGCTCTCCCCCAAATCTTGGAGAACAGCTTTTCAAAAGTTCAGAATTTTATAAAATATTTTGAACACCCCAATTTTTCTGCAGATGTTTGTAGCTTTCAAAGTTCTAGCAGTGACCATGCTTTTAAATGTTTTCTTTTTTTTTTATAAAGTGCCAACTTTTTTTTTTTTTTTTGGTAGACTAATAGCAAGCTTTCCCCCACCGTGCTGTGCTGGGCAAATGATCTATCAATCACTGAGCCATATTCTGGTCCACAGCAAATGTTTTGTAATAAATGTAAAAGAAGTGAAAATAGGTTTTATTCTTAGTCTGCCTGCCTGCTTTCTTTCTTTCTTTTTCTTTTCTTTTCTCTTCTCTTCTCTTCTCTTCTCTTCTCTTCTCTTCTCTTCTCTTCTCTTCTCTTCTCTCTCTTCTCTCTCTCTCTCTCTCTCTCTCTCTCTCTCTCTCTCTCTCTCCCTCTCCCTCTCCCTCTCCCTCTCTTAAGGGCAATACTAACCACTCAGGAATGGTTAGTATTCAAAAGTGTACTTTCTGCGAGGAATGAAAAAAAACCCAGAAACCCAATTTCCACAATGCAGCTGGTGCTTTTGTGCAGCAATATTGATCTCAACTTGAGTGTGAGGGTCATTCTGCTTGAAAATGCAATCAACTTTAAACTCTTATCTGGCTCAGGTGATGAAAAAGGAGTTCTTAGCAACTTAATGGCCCTGTCTTCCCCTAAAGAGATCCTAGTTGCTTCCTTTCAGGCAAATGTGCCTGTGGATCACTGGATCGGGGAATATTGAACATAATGTGTATCTAAAGATTATCTGGATCTGTGGCTGGAAATCTTGCAGTTTGTGTGGACTGAAATTCCCCCTGGAGAGCCCGAGGTTTATTAAGCAAGGTGGACAGCCTGTCTTCAGACCTAACTAAGGAGGCAGGGATTCTGTTGAGGGAACTAGCAGTGGGCTTTGGGAGCCCACTGAGCTCTGGGGACACCAGACACCAGACATCTCTGTCCACCAGGAGTAAGGACTGTGACACAGACACCCTTCCCAAGGCAACTGGGGTGGGGTGGGGGGTAGTCATTGTAACTCACCAACAAAGGTCTTTCTATTTTGATGATCCTCCACTTGCTCTGACCTTCCTCCTTCTCTGACCCAGGGCCAAGGGCTTCCCTGGAATGCTGTGGCTCTGGAGCCTGTCTACCAGGTGCCCAGTCACAACAAAGCAGAGCCTTCTTGTTCATATCATCTTTGGATCCTTAGTGTTGGATCCTTCATGCATCATCTCATGAGTTTTCCATATTTCAGCTTTTTAGCCCAATAGTTATTTTCCATATTTTTATTGGTACATTATAGTTGTACCCAATGGTGGGGGATTTGTCGTTACATATTTGTACATGAACACAATGTAACAATATAATTTGCCTCTGTCATTCCCCAGTACTTCCCCTGTCCCTTCTCTCCTCCCTACACCTGGTCCCTTTCCTCTACTGATCTCTTTTTTTATTTTTTTTTTAGTATTTGGCGGACACAACATCTTTGTTTGTATGTGGTGCTGAGGATCGAACCCGGGCCGCACGCATGCCAGGCGAGCGCGCTACCGCTTGAGCCACATCCCCAGCCCCTACTGATCTCTTTTTGATTTAAAAAATTTTTTAAAATTTATTCTAAGTAGTCATACATGACAGTAGAATGCATTTTGATACATCATACATGAATGGAGTATAACTTCTCGTTCTTCTGGTTGTACATGATGTAGAGTTACACAGGTCATGTAATCATATATGCACATGGGGTAATAATGTCTGATTCATTTTGCTATCCTTCCTACTCCCATTCTCCTTCCCCTCCCTTCACTGTCCTCTGTCTAGTTCCAAGTATCTCTATTCTCCCCCACCCCACTATTGTCAACTAGCATCCACATATCAGAGAAAATATTTGGTCTTTGGTTCTTTGAGATTGGCTCATTTTGCTTAGCATAATATTCTTCAGTTCCATCTATTTACCGTCAAATGACATAATTTCATTCTTCTTTAAGGCTGAGTAATATTCAATTGCATATGCATACTACAATTTCTATATCCATTTATGTGTTGAAAGACACCGAGGTTGGTTCCATAGTTAAGCTATTGTGAATTGAGCTGCTATAAATATTGATGTGGCTGAATCACTGCAGTATGCTGATTTTTAAGTCCTTTCTACCTTCAATTTTCACGAGATCTCCAACACATCTTTTCTTTTTTTCTCTCTAGCTTTCACATATGAGAGGAAACATGCAACCATTGGCCTTGTGAGTTTGGCTTGTTTCACTTAGCATAATTTCTCAAGTTTCAACCATTCTCCTGCGAATGACATAATTTCATTCTTTCTTTATGGCTGAATAAAACTTCATTGTGTATATATACCACATTTCCCTTTTCCATTCATCTGTTGATGGGCACCTAGTTTGGTTCCGTAGTTTGGCTTTTGTGAATTGTGCTCTTGTAAACATGGGTGTGCGGGTATCACTGTTGCATGATGACTTTAATTCTTTCAGATAAATACCGAAGAGTGGTATAGCTGGGTAATAGGGTGGTTCCATGCCTAATCTTTTGAGGAAACTTCATGCTGATTTCCATAATGGTTGTACTAATTTATAATCCCACCAACAGGGTGAAAATGTTCCTTTTTATTCACATCCTCCCCAACATTTATTATTGTCTTTTTTCTTGATGACTGCCATTTTGACTGGTGTGAAATGAAATCCTAGGGTAGTTTTAATTTGCACTTCCCTAATTGCTAATGATGCTGAACATTTTAAATATATGTGTTGGCCATTTGTATTTCTTCTTTTCAGAAGTGTCTGTTTAACTCATTTTTCCATTTATTAATTGGGTCTTTTTTTTGGTCTAAGTTTTTTTTTTTTTAGTTCTTTATATATTCTAGATATTAATCCTCTGTCCATAAGGGTAGCTAGCAAAGATTTTCTCCCATTCTATAGGTTCTTTCTTCACATTCTTAATGTTTTCTTTGCTGTGCAGGGTATTTTTAATTTAATGCCATCTTATTTATTAACTTTTGTAATATTTCCATTAGTTCTTGAGCATTAGAAGTCCTATTGAGGAAGTCTTTGTCTGTGCCTATATGCTGGAGTGTAAACCCTGAGATTTCTTCTAGATAGTGTTTAGTTGTATAGTTTCTTGTCTAATTCTTAGGTCTTTGATCCATTTTGAGTTGAGT